CTCAAATGTCTGTAAAAGTCAGAAGGTTTTTTGTTGTTGTTGTTTTGAAAGGAAGAGTTAGTGAAAACAAAAAGCAGGGTGGGTGCAATGGCTCAATTGGCTAATCCTTCCCTTTGGCACTAGGATCTCACAGGGTGTCTGTTCCTTTCCTGGCTGCTCCACTTTCCATCCAGTTCCCTGCTTGTGGCCTGGGAAAAAAGTAGAGGAAGCCCAAAGCCTTGAAACCCTGCATCCATGTGTTAGACCTGGAAGAAGCTCCTGGCTCCTGGCTTTGAATTAGCTCAGCTCTGGCTGTTGCAACCACTTGGGGAGTAAATCAGTATATGGAATACATTTTTCTCTGTCTCTTCTTCTCAACTGTAAATCTGCCTTTCTAGTAAAAATAAGTAAATCATTTCTTATTATAAGCTTTAAGAAATATCATGCATTTGCCTCAGATCCATGTGCAGTCCTGAACAGGTGTAGGGCCACTCTCCCTACTTCCTCTTGCAGCTCACAGTTCACCTTTCCCTCATTTGGCCTTTTCTTTTCTTGCTTTTTTTTTAAGATTTACTTATTTTTATTACAAAATCAGATATACAGAGAGGAGGAGAGACAGAGAGGAAGATCTTCCATCCGATGATTCACTCCCCAAGTGAGCGCAACAGCTGATGCTATGCCGATCCAGAAGCTGGGAACCAGGAACTTCTTCCGGGTCTCCCACGCGGGTGCAGAGTCCCAAAGTTTGGGGCCATCCTCAACTGCTTTCCCAGGTCACAAGCAGGGAGCTGGATATAAAGTGGGGCTGCGGGATAGAACCAGTGTGCATATGGGATCCTGGCGTGTTCAAGGCGAGGACTTTAGTCGCCAGGCCACGCCGCCGGGCCCCTTTTGGCCTTTTCATATGGGGGAGTCAAGAGCGATCCTGACAACCTCTTAACAGGAGGTCATATTCACAGAGCGGGGGGGTGGGACCCCAGAGTGGAGCAGGTGGCCAGGAGGAGGCTTGTATTTCAACCCTGGAGACCCCTGGATCTACATGAAGGACTATCAGTACGGGCACCAAGGACTAAATTCCAACTGCCAAAGAGACCACTGGGAATTGGAGTGCCTTTGGAGGCTGAGGACTCTGAGGTCACCCACCCACGTGGGGATCTACCACATGGGATGGAAGAAGCCCAAATCCTTCCTCACAGGATCCAAGGTCATCAAAACAACGGCTAGGAGCCCTAAGCAGTCCGCAGAAACAGAACAGTAAACATCCTTCGGGACTCGGGAGAGGAGCTTTCTCTGGTCCTTACTTAGTTCCAACTTTGGATCCCCATCCTCTCTGGCAATGACCATCAGGGTCGCTATGGAGCCCCCCAAAACAAACAAAATCAGAATAGACAGAACAATAAGGAAATCTTAGAACCAGACAGGAAACAGTCAGCATGGATTCACATATACCTTACTAGGTAGGACATAGAGATTAGATACTCCTCACTGGGGAATGGAAGATTTCTCTGCACACCCCTCCTAAAATAGTTCCACACCTCAACTGTTGACATATGCCTTGTTAGAGTTATAAGCCAGTTTAGACTATCCTAAAACCTGCCAGGTTCAGTAGAATTATGCTTCAAAGCTATGGACTGCTAAATACTAAAATAAGGATAGACACAAGACAGCTGAATATTACCCTATAGCCATTTTAAGGTATATAGAAGCTGGTTGTATATAAACTAAAATCGAAATGTCAATGAAGTAGTCACAGGATGTGGTTAAGAACTTGCATCTTGTAACACATTGGTTAATTGACAATTAATTCCACAATGTTATAAATTTTTGTGATGTTAATTTGGGGCTTTTAATTGTTCAGGATGATATTCTGCCAGCTCTACCTTCAGACCAGAGATGATTTCCCCAAGAAACAGTTGAATGTATCTGGACAATTAGATGCTGGACTCTATGCTTGGTATATTTTTGCAATGAAAGAATCTCAACTGAATTTGATCTGTAATACTGCAACAAGGTGGAGGAATCCACCATGGGGGGAGGGTAGGGGAGGGGGTTGGGGAAATCCCAGAGCCTATGAAACTGTGTCACATAATGCAATGTAATTAATAAAATTTTAAAAAAAGATTTAGGGAAAGCACAGACTTGGCTTATACCTCTTTCCAAAGTTTCACTCAAAAATGAGCTGTGTCAAGCCAGTCAAGTACTGTCTCCCTCCTTTCTTCCCTGTCTTTTTCTTCCTTCCCTTCCTATTTTCTTTCTTTCTTCCTTCCTGTCCTATTTTCTTTTCTTTCTTTCTTCCTTCCCTTCCTATTTTCTTTCTTTCTTTCTTTCTTTCTTTCTTTCTTTCTTTCTTTCTTTCTTTCTTTCTTTCTTTCTTTCTCTCTCTCTCTCTTTCTTTCTTTCCTTCCTTCCTTCCTTCCTTTCTTCCTTCCATTTCCCATCTATCTTACTGCTTGTGACCTGGGAAAGCAGAGGAAGATGGTTCAAAGTTTTGGGACTCTGCACCGGCACAGGAGACCCGGAAGGGGATCTTGGCTCCTGCCTTAAGATGCACTCAGTTCTGGCCATTGCAGCCACTTGGGGAGTGAACCAGTGAATGGAAGGTCTGTCTCTCCTTCTCTCTGTAGGTCTGCTTTTCCAAGAAAAATAATAAATCTTTTTTTCTTTAAAAAGTGACTTCCCAGTTTAAAAAAAAAAGAATTCACATACAAGATATGTCTAGATTCAAGAACTTCCATTTGTAGAACATTTTTCAACATATTCCCGGTTGGAAAGCTGCCAGTGTTGAAACAATAATTGTAAAAGAAAACAAACAGGCGTTTTCCTATTCTGTTTATCCACAGTTTATCAGCATTATACATTTCTGGAGGACAGTCAATAAGACTATCTTCAACTATCTTCGATGGCTCTTCTAGATGGTGTGTGTGGGTGGGTGGGTGGGTGTTTCTTCCCAAGCATAGTATTCTCTTGATATTGTAGGGTGTGCTCCAGGCGGCTGCAGGGCTTTTTCCCAAGAGCGCCCTCTCAGCAGAGGTGCGGGGCATGCACGCACTGTACAGTCAGCCAAGGCTGATAGATCTCAGAAGTGCTCTGCAGCTTGGATCAGTCCAACTTAGGGCTCTTCTGGGGGAGTCCTGGCAGAGAGGAGTCTTCAGGCCCTGCTCGCCGGAGTTTCCTATGTGGAAGGGATGAAATCAGGACAAGGCAATCACCCTCAGGAGTACCTGAGAGGTATTGTTGTTGTTGCTGTTTCTAAGGCACTTTAGGAGGGTCACTTGCCCGGTTAACAGTAGGGTCTGCTGGTACTGGGTTTGCTGTTTACACCTCGCCCCCCCACCCCAACAGTGTCTGAGTCTAGTGTCCAATCCCTCTGTCCCACCCCCGCCCCGACCTGAAGGTGAGTTGGACCAATGGGAGACACAGAAGAGCCGGGGGAGGCTAAGATTTCTTCCTTCTGTCCTCTCCTGGACAGCGGAAGATTCTGGTAGCTGCTACTTCCTCAGCACAACATCTCATTTTGTGGCCTTCCTTCAGGCCTCAGGCCCCTTCCTTCCCTCCTGTGTAGTGCCAAGGCTGGTGTTAACTCCCGCTATGGCTAACCTTGGTGTTCATTTCCTGCTGTCTGCCCTTATCTCTGGAAATGGTCCCTTAACAGGTTCCTGGTTAAAATCATTGCACAGACTTCTGGGCCATATCCCAGGCCCCTCACAGTCCTGACACCCACACCTGCAAAATCTGGGTGCCGTTCCTCTCAGAAGCAACCGCCTGCCTGAAGGGGTCTGTGGTCACCTTCAAAACCCAGGACCACCTCTTACTCTTACGACTGAGTAAGAGCAAGAACTGCGGGGCTGAACACCCTTGCCTTCCCTCAGGCAGCGCCAGGCATACGGTGTGCGCTAACGGAGACGTTCCCTGCAGGGGCGGCACCGTGGGCTCTGCGGATCGTCCTCCTTTTCTCCACCTGCTGAGCTGCTGGCACCTGTAGATCCTAGATCTCCACGCTGGTCAGCTCAGGTTTTTTTCATATTGTGTTTGACAGCAGGAAGTCCGTCCACATGACTTCTGGCACTCTCCAGAAAGGGTGGTACGGTTTTGTCCTGCCGTGAAAAGCTTGGGAAGGAAGCTTGGCAGGTTTTTGTCAAACCGCACATTGCTGCCCTTCCTAGTTGGGAAGTGTCTGCTCCCACCATCAATGCCTTGAAACATCTTATTTTATGCATGAGGGATTACAGTCTACCCAAGCAGACCCGAGGAGGTGGTCATGAACAGCCCCTCCTCCCATGTTTTATACATCTGAGGCAGCGAAATTATTACTCGGTCTAGGCAATCGCCTGCGACGCACGTGATGTCTTAACAAACATTTACATCTGGATAGGCCTGGCTTTTGAATATTCTTAGTGGGAAGCACTTTGAATCGGAAAGGCGCACTAACAGGCGATTGCTATGGAAACGGCACCTCCGCTGTGCATTCTCGGGAGTTCTCTTCCTGGGGCGCTTCTGCATCCACAGGGTGTCCCGGACACACACCGCTCTGGGGTGGGAGCCTGGGAACAGGCGGGGAGTGAGGGCTGCCCACCTTGGGGTGAGAACCCTAGTCCAGGATCGAGAGCTGGAGACATCCGCCCTAGCGGGCCTCGGAGAAGCCGGAGCGGGAGCGGGGGCTCCGGGTGTGCTGCCTCCCCCGCCCCGGGCCCCGTGCACAGACCACGTGCAGCAGCGGAGCGTGGGGGGGCCCCTGGCGCGCAGCCGCGGTGGGAGCCGGTGCCGCGTCCCGGCCCCGGTGCACCGGGCGCGCGCCTGGCCGTGCGGGCCTGGGGCGGCCGCCGCGCGCCCCCCGGCAGGGAGCGGAGCGGGGAGCGCGGGGCCTCCGCCCGCGGCCGGCGCGCCGAGCGCGTGTGTGTGTGTGTGTGTGTGTGTGTGACAGTGTGTGTCAGGTGACTCGGGTCACGCAGTCTCCCTCTCCCTCCTCGGGGAGGAACTGCCGCGCTCCGGCTGACTCCTCCGCCGCCGGGCGGGGCGGGGGAGGGGGCTCGGCGCGCTGGGAACCGCGGGACCGGGACCTGGGCGCCGCCCGCCGCGGGGGGACGCACGGCCCCCGCCGAGCGCCACACAAAACCCCGATTCGGGAATCGCTCGCGGCCGGCCGGCTGAGCCGCTCCCCGCCGCACGCACCCCCAGGCCCACCCCCATCCGGGACCCCCAGCAGCCCCTGGGCGGGCCGGCCGGTGGGCGCGATGAGCCAGGTGCTGGGCAAGTCTCAGCCGCAGGACGGAGACGACGACGACGAGGAGGAGGATGAGCTGGTGGGGCTAGCGGACTACGGGGACGGGCCCGAGTCCTCGGACGCCGACCCGGACAGCGGGACGGAGGAAGGAGGTGAGCCCCCCAGCCCCCTGCTCTGGGGCCCCGCGCCTCCTCAGCTCGCGCCCCTTCCCGCCCCTCGGTATCTTCCCGCCCCTGGGCCGGCAGGGCGCGCGGGCCGCCGACTTGAAGGGGCTCCAGGGAGTGGAGTTGGGGTGGGGGTGGGGAGGGGCGCCGGAGGAGCGACCTCCGGCCGTAAGAGGGGGAGGGACCCTTGGCGCTGGTGGGGCCGGCTTCGGGGGCGAGGGAGACGGGCTAGGCGGAACGTGCGCGCCCTGGTCCCTTGCAGGGCCGGCGCCTCCCGGGCTCTGGGTGAGGTTTTGGGGGGCTGTGCAGGGCAGGGGACCGCCGGCGCGCCCCGGGAGCGCTCACTGTGAACGCTGGCGTTGAAGCAGGCAGGGGTCAGATGTCTTGGCTAAAAAAAGGCAGCCGGCGGCAGCGTGACTGGCAGGGTGGTCGGCAGCTGCGGGTGTCAGTCTTGCCCCGCGTCGCCGCGGGAGGAGTCCTGGAGCTGCCCAGGTAGGGGCGGGGAGGGGTGATGCAGGGGGAGTCGCCGAGCGGCCGCGGGTTTCCCTGGATCCAGGCAAATCCGGTTGTTGGGACGCCTTATCGGCGCTCGGTGTCACCACCTGGGCTTGGCAGTGCCTGGCCCAGGAATGAGCGCAGGGCGGGGGAATTAGTTGCCACTCTGCAAACTCTTGTTCCCTGTTCAAAAAGCGGGTTTTAGCCATCTTTAGGACTGGGGGGGTGGGGCGGGGGGAGGAGCTTTCTGCCTTTTTTTTTTTTTACGCTTGAGAAACTTGAGAGTATTTGAGGATTCCCGAAAGATTGAACTTTTTGAATTTCCTCAAAAGCCAGCAAGTAGTCTTTTCTGGTAGGGTCACTTGGAAAGGACGGTAGAATGTGGCTGCTGCCTCAGCGTGTATTTTCTGTTTTGCATCTTGGAGAAGAAATCAACTATTTGAATATTTGCCATTGGAGACATGATGTCAGGGATGAAAGTATCTTTGTGACTTGATTTTTAAGAACTTCTGTGGAGGGAGTTTAATGAACTTATTTGAAATTCCCTGTGCAGAGCCTTCTCCTGAGGCCGGTGTTCAGGATTTCCCAGTGGAGCAGAGGGAACCATTAAGCCTTGAGGTTGGAGCCCTCTTTTCTGTAGTGGTCCTCCTTCCCTCCCGGGAGCCTTTCTGCTAGTTTCCTGGTTGCTTTTCCTGTAGCAGGCACCTGTGCACTTGCCTCTTCGCAATGCTGTAATTGGTCCCACAGTGGAGCACCTGGCCACATTTTTGTAGCTGAAGAGTTTCAACCTTTTGTTGGCGTCTCTGGGGCTACCTTCCGTAATTAAATTGTATTGGGTCTCTTCATTATTATTCAGATGGCGTTGGTTAGCTCCTTCCCAGCTCCGTGGAGATTCCCCCTGCCCCCCTCCCGCCTCCAGAGATGCGGGCTGGAGGATGTATTTACAAGGCATTTGAGAATAGAGTACAGGGGATATCCTCTTTGTAAAAACAGCAAAAACAAAACCAACCCCCCCCCCCCAAAAAAAAACCGGGGGTGGGGACGTGGGGAGTGGTGAGAGAGTGAACCAAACTTGGGTGGAATAGTCTGGTAGTCTGATAGGAAAAGCGCTAGACCTGTTTGTTGTACAGTTCTTTGATGGGGGAACTTTTCTGATTTGGGGAGTGAAAATTGCAGGGAAATGAAAGCCCCGGCAGAGGGGTGGGATTTCCTGGACAAAGGACTCTGCTGGAGCCCAGACTTGCAGGCTCCCCTCTGCTGCTAACCCACAGCCAGACCCGCCTGTAACCGATGCTTTTGATGACTTCAGTAATAAAATCCTTCCCTGTGCGTTGTTGGGATCGGCCTGGAATCTGCCTATAAAAGGCTGGAGTGTGTTTGCGCACTAAGAAGAAGAGCAGGACATTCAGACTCGCTGCCTGCAAGACCCTGAACTCTGCTTGGGCCTGGCCTGGCTCTGCCTGGGCCTGCCGTGGGTCAGTGGGATGCTCCCTGGAGACCCACAGCCGGTGTGATATACCTAAGCTTCCCTGGCTTGGAGTGAGGGGCTTAGGAACAGACTCACTAAGAACACTGACTATCTGTGGGTGCACCATGGCCTTCAGCCAGCAGTTCCAGAAAGGACAGTAATGCCAACTGATAGGGTCTGCAGGACAGTGGGCTTGCCTCAGTTGCATCTTCATTTCTTGTGTCCTTCAGAAAGCCTTCGCAAGTGCTGCCCCCAAATCTTGCTTGATGTTTGTTCTAATTTACTTGTTGACTCAAACATGCAAGAGATGGAAAGCAACAAAAGACTTGGTTTTTTTTTTTTTTTCCAAAAAACTCTTTTTTTATTGGAAAGGCTAATTCACAGAGCGAAGAGGCAGAGAGAAATATCTTCCATCTGCTGGTTCACTCCCCGAGTAGCCACAATGGCTGGCCAGAGCTGAGCCGATCTGAAGCCAGGAGCCAGGAGCTTCTTTTAGGTCTCCCATGTGGGTGCAGGGTCCCAAGCCTTTGAATCATCTTCAACTGGTTTCCCAGGTCACAAACAGAGAGCTGGATGGGAAGTGGGACCTCTGGGACACAAACTGTTGTCCATATGGGATCCCGTTGCATGTAAGGCAAGGATTTAGCCACTAGGCTACTGTGCTGGGTTAGACAAAAAGACTTGTAAGAAAAGTTGAATGTGGAGCACTTTGAGCAAGAGCAAGTGTTTTGTGTCATAAAGCTTACCTCCATTCTCCATCCCGATGGACTTGAGGCTCTGGAATCTAGCCTAGCTGATACGTGCGGGCCAGGATGTGGGTCTGGCTGGCATCAGTAGCTCAGCCAGGCAGCTGGTCAGGAGCTGAGCAACAGGATGTACACCAGAGAGGAGGGAGGCTGCTCTCATGTCCTTCACTCTGCAGGACGCATGTGGGAACCTTTGCGGTTACTTTGACAATGAGCACCATGTAAGCTCTGCCACTTTGTGCCAAGTTGGAAAACAGTGCAGCTAAGGTGAGACTTAAATTGCAGTCCTCTGGCTTGCACCCCATATTTTATTTATTCATGAATAGCAGGAGTGTTCTTTGGCATTCCAGTTCTCTTACAGATTTGGGCTCCTCAGATCCTGCTTTCATGGCAGTTAATCACAAATGTGGTGTCTCCCCTTCAACCCCCAAGCTCCAGAGGGGTGGCCATGGGGAAGCCATCAAAAACAATCATACCGTGAGTAATGATTATGTTTGGACATGTGGACTTTGGCTCTTCAGTGAATTGTTGTGCTTTAAAACTCATAAAAAAGAAGAAAGCAATGACAAGATGATGTTTATTCAGAAAGTAGCATTGGTTATTTTTCCCCCCAAAATTCCCTTTGGACACATCCCAAGGGAAATATGGCCTGGAAATAGGCAGAGGTAGCAGGTGGCACTTTCCCAGGGGCTGTAGTTGTGGTGGGCCCAGCAGTTCCCTTCTGCTAGTCACTTCTGGCAGCTTGCTTTCCTAAATCAGTGTTCAAGTGAAGAGTGGCTTTATCTTCTCATTATTCCTTGAAAATCAGTGGTGATCCCTTGATCAGCCACCAGGGGAATTATCTATGACCTCATTATGAGCCACAAGTGTGTGGAAACCTTGACATGCTCATGTGCTGAACATAGGCCTGGCCATAGCTACTCTCCTGGATCCTCTAACCCCGGGAATAACTGATACTGAAGAGTAACTGAAGCTGCAGAGTAGTTTAAAAAAATATCCTCGTATGCCTGTATTTAGAGAGCATTTTAAAAAATATTTTTAAAATTTATTTATTTGAAAGGCACAGAGAGATGAATTGCATTCACTGGTTCAGGCTCCAGATGGCCTCACCCATTGGCTCCACGCAGGTCTCCCAGGCAGATGTAACGGTCCAAACACTTGGGCCCTCTCATGCTGATTTCCTGGGTGTCTTAGCTGGGAGCAGAATCAGAAGTGGAGCACCTGGGACTCAAGCCAGTACCCATACGGGATGCTGATGGCACAATAGGCAGTGGCTTAACCCATGACAGATGTTTTGTAAGCATATTTTAGTGATTCATATTTAGTAGGGTCTTGATTCTCTACTACTAGCAATCTCTCCCATTTTAATAGAAGAACATGTAGCAGGGTGATGAAAAATAAAGGTCGAGGCAATGAGTTCTGGAGTCCTGGACGTGAGCCTGGCTCCAAGGACCATCTTTGTCTTCAGTGTGGACTGTGTGCCCGAGTTCACCTCCTGTTTCCTCCTGGCCGCGTCCCATTGCGATGGTTGGTTTACTTCCTCCTGGAGCTGCCTCTCTTCGTCCTTTTTCTTCCCTAGCTCCTCTATTCTTTCCACATCCTTTTCCTATCTCACTCCTTTGAATCTCCCTCCGACAGAACCTGTGACTGAGAGCCGACATATCGCTGGCTTTCCCTGGGTCTGCCAGATAGGGTTTCCTCTTTTCTTGCAGACTCTGAGGCACAAGGACTCCAGCTCCATTTCTCTGTAAAATAGGTAACTCTGTAAAACCAACCTGAATTTACTGTGAAAGCATTTGATCAAAAAAAGTCTGTGGGGCCCGGCGCGGTGGCGCAAGTGGTTAAGTCCTCGCCTTGCACGCCCGGGATCCCATATGGGCGCCGGTTCTAGTCCCGGCAGCCCCGCTTCCCTTCCAGCTCCCTGCCTGTGGCCTGGGAAAGCAGACGAGGACGGCCCAAAGCTTTGGGACCCTGCACCCGTGTGGGAGACCCGGAAGAGGCTCCTGGCTTCGGATCGGCATAGTATCGGCCCGTTGCGGCTCACTTGGGGAGTGAATCATCGGACGGAAGATCTTCCTCTCTGTCTCTCCTCTCTGTATATCCGCCTTTCCAATAAAAAATAATAAAAATAAAAATCTTTAAAAAAAAAAAAAAAAAAAAAAAAAAAGTCTGTGAACACTTTTTTCTGCCTGCAGGAGTGTTGTTAAGCTGGAGCACACTAGAAATGCGACTCAATGCATCCATTGAGGAAATATGAATGTATGGTCTCATATTTCTTA